CAAATTTTTCAGGCGGAAATTTCCGGAGGTCATGTGATATTCCGTAAATCGACGCCTAATTAAATTTCCTGATGTTGCGTGCTTAACAAAAAGTTGTTTCACATTTTATGATTCGTGAAAAAGCAAAATCTTATTCTAATAAATTACAATATATATCGGCCTATTCAAATATATCTGAGTGCAAATGGGGTGAAAGATGGTTAAACGGATTTATGCGACGTTATAAACTAAGTAATCGTCGCCATACAACAGTTGCTCAAAGGTTGCCAGAAGATTTATTAGAAAAACAGCAAGAATTTTTGAATTTTATTCTTTACCACTGTATTCAACATGATTATCCTTTGAAATATGGATGAAACCCCATTAACATTTGATATTCCTAGTAATATGACAGTAGAAGAAACAGGTTCCAGAACAGTTAGTATACGTACTACAGGACATGAAAAATCAAATTTTACTGTGGTACTTTCCTGTATGGTAGATGGTACGAAATTACCACCACTGATAATTTTTAAATTAGTAAATGTACCAAGACAAACTTTTCCCTCTAGAGTTGTAGTTCGTGCAAATCGTGAAGGATATATGAATACTAAAAAATGTTATGGTAAATTGAAAATATTTGGAATCTTCGTGCAACAAGATCAATAGATCCGCGTTCATTACTGGTATTAGATTCATTCCGCAGACATTTGACAGATTCAGTCAAACAAAGATTTGATGAGAAAAATACTAACTTGGCTGTTATTCCAGGTGGTCTTACAAGTAAATTGCAACCATTTGATGTTTCAATTAATAAATCTTTTAAATCTAAGGTAAATTTATTAATTTATTAAATACAAATTATTAAGTTTAAAATTAAAAATTCAAGAATTAATTTATAGTTTTATTAATATATTTTATAGTATTGTCAATGTTATAATGATTGAATGGCTGAAGAAATCAAGAAGCTTACACCAACAGGTCAGATACAACGTCCTGCATATAATTTAGTGACTGAATGGGTATTAATTTCGTGGAATCAAATTGATACATCACTTATACAACGTGCATTTAAATGTTGTGGTATTTCAAATGCCCGAGATGGAAGTGAGGATAAATATATTTTTGATTATAATTGGTTAAATGGAAACAAAAATAATGGTGGAAATTTTATATATACAGAAGATGAAAATGAAAATAATGAAGGTAATTCTGAAAATGAAGAAGTAAGTGATATCGAAAATAATGAAGCAAGTGAAAATAATGAAGAAATAATTAATGAAGATATTGAAAGTGAAAATAATGAAGAAATAATTAATGATGATATTGAAGCAGACAAAGAAATTAATGATGAAACTATTGATTTAACTCACGGCCTTGATGATAATAATTATTATGATGACAAAATTGATTACATAAATTTATGGAAATAAATTTAAATAGTAAATTTATGTATTATGTATAAATTTTAAATTTTAATAAAATTTATAAATTTCGCTTTATTATGTAAAATAAAATTTATAAATTTCGCTTTATTATTTATAAATTTCATTTATATATAATTACCATGATTTGTACCCCGGATACTAAAACAGGGGGGTATATTGCACGGGGGGATATCTTGTGCGGCAAATTACGGTAGATTTGGGTGTGCCATAGATGTCCATCTAACAATCCGTATATGGAAGTTCATAGAGTACTGCGGTCGCTCTTTTTTATGCATAGAAGTGTAATTTTTTTCCCCGCTATATATCCCACATACAGTATGTTTCTGCAATAAAGAAACCAGCACAAATAAATCTCGAAAATGGCATAAGTAGAAAGAACTTATCGTTCCATATCAGCGTTGATAACAGGAATAATAACTTTTGGGGGTTGTAATCACCGCGATCTCCGAGATTATCATGTCCCTTATCAACTTGCATAATCTATATACTATAAAAAGACACTGATTCACTTACGAAAAAAATTTTTATTTCTTCCCAACATTATCGAGCAGTACACAAACCAGATTTTTTTTTTTACGCCATACACCGATATAAAAAATGTCCTCACACACTTCACCTTCGCCCTCCTCACCTTCAAGCGTATATTCCGACGAAGAAAAAATAACTCGCACCATGGGAGACGTTATTAAAGATTATGATACCGAGGAGCTTATCGATTATTTGGATAGGCAGGATCTGAAACTTAAGGATCCCATTTTGCAATTCTTCGTAAACAAGAAATAGATGGTTTATCTTTTTTGAAATTAACAAGAGATGACTTTATAAATTTTGGATTCAAAGGTGGTCCTGCCATTAAATTAACAGAATTTGTTGAGAAGCTTAATGAGACAAGATTGCGGAGTTTCTCGTCGTATAAAACATTAGATGATCTAAAGGTATTGCTCAAGAAATATAAGGTTAATGGTGAGGAGATTACCGATATCAAACAATTTAATCCAGGTATGTATTACTATTTGTCTATTATCAGTTTTATTTTTACATTATAAGTTACTCTTACGGACTAAATATTATTTTTTATACAGTATTTGAAAAAATCGATGATGATGATGATGAAACGTTGAACCACTGCATAAATGACATAGTTCTTATTTTGTCAAATATTGAAACAATGACTGATGCCAATGAAGCTACCCGCTGTGAATTTATTTCGTCTATCCTACATGCATCCCTTGCAATTGCTCGGAGGCAAACCAAAGAAGAAAAACTTTATATATCCTTACAAAAAGACATCTCAGGCGAAGAAGCATCTGGCCGTGTCGATTATGCAATTAAGGGGAAGGAGGACCTTATGTGTATCGCTGAGAGGAAACCACGTAATATCAAAATTGGTTATCTCCAGAACATCAGACAACTAGAAAGTGCGTACCATACTAATAAAGATAAGAGAAAACGAACGGCAGAACAAGCTTTTAATAATGATGAATATGACTATCTTTACGGGATCGTTACTACAGGTATGGCTAATATCTTTATCTGCGATAAAGGCTCTGCTATAATTATCAATTACAGAGTATAGTATTTATTATTTTTTTATTTCTAGCAATGGAATGGCATTTCATTATATTTTCAACTGATGGGCTTTATTGTACCAGCGAGGATGAATATCAAATAAACCTCTCAAAAACCGCAATCAAAGAAAATATTGATATTCTTCGAAACAGCGTACAGAGAATAATTGGAATAATTGTGGGGTTGTTAAAAGACAGAATAACAGCGAGTAACGAACCTGGAAGTAAAAGGCGTCGTGTACAAGAAAAAATAAAACAATAGATAATAGCGGAGCTAGTGACTTTGTCACATATTTCTGTTTACTATATATATTTTTTATTGCAAAGCAATGGGCTACGCCCTATCATGTATTATCCGGCATTTATGTGCCCATATACAGTCTGGTGCAAAAGTCTTTGGACGAAGATCAGTAAAAATTAAAAGTTGCACAAGTGACTAATTTTAAACCATT